AGTTGCTGGGGCGGCAGGCAATGCTTTAGTTGGGCTCCCACACTCTTCACTATCTTCTCCTGTGTTCCTTGCAGTAGCTCAGACTCCTTCCCTCAGTGTTCCCTCCCTCTCACCTCTAGCCCTTTGCATATGCTGCTTCTTCCTGAAACAGCCTCTATACCGTTGGCCTGGTGAATAACTTTTTGTCCTTCAGGATGCAGTTCTGCCGTGACCTCCTCCAGGAAGCCATCCTTGATTTCTCCCAGGTCAGGCGATGTGCTCCCTTAGCACAATGCCCTCCTCTTCTACCCAGGCAAGCCATAGCAGTGAGGCTGCCAATGGTGACAATGCACTAAGGAACAATGCACTGAGGCTGGGTGCAGTGGCTCATGTCTATAATCCCAGCACTTTGGGAGGCTGAGGTGGGAGGATCACCTGAGGTTGGGAGTTTGAGACCAGCCTGACCAACATGGAGAAACACCATCGCCACAAAAAATACAAAATTAGCTGGGTATGGTGGCACATGCCTGTAATCCCAGCTAAGCTACTTGGGAGGCTGAGGCAGGAGAATCACTTGAACCCGGGAGGCGAAGGTTGCAGTGAGCCGAGATCGAATCATTGCACTCCAGCCTGGGCAACAAGAGCCAAACTCCATCTCAAAAAAAGAAAAAAGAAACAATGCACTAGTTTCTGGGTGACTGGGGAAGGAGAAAGACAGAGTAAAGTCAAGTCTACTCTGGATGTATTAAAGCAGGAAGGTGACTCTTCTCTGTTCTGGGGTCTGCCTCCAGAGAGTTACATTTGATCTGTTTAGGAGAGTGGATTGGCACATGGGCTCTGGAGCCAGACTCTCTGAGTCCAAATTCTGGCTCTGACACTAACCAGTGTGTGGCCATGAGCCTTGACCTCTTCCTCATCTGTAATATGGGAATAGTAATAGAAACTACCTCATAGGGATATAGTGAGAATCACTTGTATTATGGGTTTCCTCTTAATATTGTTACTATTTTTAAAAAGCTTTTTTATTTTATTTTGTGTTTTAGAGACAGGGTCTCACTCTATTGCCCAGGCTGGAGTGCAGTAACAAGATCATAACTTACCGTACCCTTGGACTTGAGGACTCAAGGTATCTTATTTTCTCAGCATCCTGAGCAGCTGGGACTACAACAGGTACCTGCCGCCATGGGTGGTTAATTCAAAAAAATCTTGTTGGCGGGGCGCAGTGGCTCACGCCTGTAATCTCAGCTCTTTGAGAGACCTAAGTGGGTGGATCACTTGAGATCGGGAGTTCGAGACCAGCCTGGCCAACATGGTGAAATCCCTTCTCTACTAAAAATACAAAAATTAGCTGGGTATGGCGGCCCATGCCTGTAGTCCCAGCTACTCAGGAGGCTGAGGCAGGAGAATCGCTTGAACCTGAGAGGCGGAAGTTGCAGTAAGTGGAGATGGCGCCACTGCACTCCAGCCTGGGTGACAATGCAAGGCTCTGCCTCTAAATAAATAAATAAGTTTTGCTGTAGAGACAAGGCCTCACTACGTAGCCCAGTCTCCTACTCCTGGCCTCAAGCAATCATCCGGCCCGGCCTCCCAAAGTGCTGGGATTACAGGTGTGAGCCACTGAGTCCAGGCTATTATTACTATCTATTTCCTTCCTCCTCCCTGGAGCCCCATACTAGGACAAGGCTACATTAGGCACTCTCACTGCATGTCTAGATTCCCTTCTTAGCCCTTCCCATGCCCTATACTTTTATATCCCCCATGGGATTAATGAGGGCTGTCACTTCCTCTGTAGGCTGACTGTGGGCCATGCAAGTGGCGCCTGGCCTGTTTGCTGGCCACAGCATTCCTAGATCCAGTGCCTGGCACTTCAGAATTGCTCAACATGTTTTTTCTTTATGCCGAGAAATGCATCTCTGTTTTTTGTTTTTTTTTTTTTTTTAACTTTTTTTTAGAGACAGAGTCTGTCTTTGTTGCCCAGGCTGGAGTACAGTGGCGCAATCACAGCTCACTGCAGCCTTGAACACCTGGGCTCAAGCAATCCTCCCCCCTCAACTTCCTGAGTAGCTGAGACTACAGCCTTGTGTCACCATGCCCAGCTGATTTTTTGTATTTTTTGTAGAGACAGGGTCTCGCTGTGTTACCAGACTGGTCTCAAACTCCTAGACTCAAGTATCTGCTGCCTGGGCCTCCCAAAGTGTTGGAATTACAGGCATGAGCCACTGTGGCCGGCTGAGAAATGTACATCAGTATTATGGAGCAAGAGGACAGAGTCATGATGGTTCTGGGAACAAATACTAAGATTTTAAAATAAACCAGTTTTGAAATAGACGTCACAGAGGAGACAGGGAAGTGGCTCAACTCCTCCTCCCTATTGCAGGCGCCTGATATAAGAGCTTAGTAAAAGATGAACCTGGGTAGGTTGCAAGCTGTTGTCTTGGCTTCCTCCAAGCGCTGCAGGGTTTCTGGGACTAAAGGGAGCTCTGTGGATCTTTCTGGGAATGTTCTGGGTGCATGGGGTTGGATCAGCCTGTTTCAGTTCTCCACAGATGAAGAGAACTTGCCAGGGCCTGGGCGACCCTCTGTGATCCAGCCCTGCCCATCTTGCAGTTACTGCATGCTTTTCTCCTGTCCTGTCATGCTCCAGCCTCAATGGTCTGTTCCCAACATGCCATGCTCACAGCCTTTGTACTTGCTGTTCTTCTGCCTAGATGGCTTTTCCCTCAGCTCTTCACAAGTCTGATTCCTTATCATTTAGGTCCCAGCTCAACTGAGACCCTAGAGAGGCCTTCCCTGAAGTCCCCACCCTCAACTCTCCATCATTGCAGAAAGTTCTATTGGGTACCACTGCTCTTGACCACAGACATGCGTTACATTTTCCTACTTCTGTCCTTTGCTCATGTTATTTGCTTTGCCTGGAATGCTTTACCTGACATTAATAGAAATCCAACTCATGTAGAATTTGGCAATATGTTAAAAGTCTTAAAATTAGTTCAGCAATGCCACTTGTCAGAATGTATCCTTAAGGAAATAACTGTTGATATATGCAAAGATTTAGCTACAAGGATGTTCAGCGCAACACTGTTTATAATAGCAAAAATAGAGGCTGTGTGCAGTGGCTCATGCCTGTAACCTCAACACATTGGGAGGCTGAGGGAGGTGGATTGCTAGAGCCCAGTAGTTTGAGAGCAGCCTGGGCAACACAGGGAGACTGGTCTCTGAAAAAAAAAAAAGAAAAAAGAGGCCAGGTGCGGGCTCACGCCTGTAATCCCAGGACTCTGGGAGGCCAAGGCGGGGGGATCACGAGGTCAAGAGATAGAGACCATCCTGGCTAACACAGTGAAACCCTGTCTCTACTAAAAAAAATACAAAATATTAGCCGCGCGTAGTGCCGGGCGCCTGTAGTCCCAGCTACTTGGGAGGCTGAGGAAGGAGAATGGTGTGAACTTGGTAGGCAGAGCTTTCAGTGAGGTGAGATCCGGCCACTGCACTCCAGCCTGGGCGACAAAGCGAGACTCCGTCTCAAAAAAAAAAAAAAAAAAAAGAAAGAAAGAAAAGAAAAAGAAATTGAGGCTGAATGCAGTGGCTCATGCCTGTAATCCCAGAACTTTGGGGGACCAAGGTGGAACGGTCAGTTGAGGCCAGGAGTTTGAGACCAGCCTGAGCAACATAGTGAGACCCTCATCTCTTAAAAAAAAGAAAAAAAAAATTTAGCCCAGTGTGGTGGTGCAAGCCTGCTGTCCCAGCCTCTCAGGCTGAGGTGGAAGGATCACTTGACCTCAGGAAGTCAAGGCTGCAGTGAGCAGTGATTGTGCCACAGCACTTCAGTCTGGGTGACAGAGCAAGACCCAGTCAAAAATAAATAAAGTCCCCTGAAGTTATAAAGACCAGATCAAACAGTCTAGAAAAGGGTTTGACAGAGTGAGCACTCAACAAACATCAGCTGCTTTTATGCATAGGAGAGTAGAGGGGATTTTTGCCGAAACTTTGAGCAGCTGCTTCTAGGTAGAGAGATTAAAATGATTTCATTTTCTTCTTTTGGTTTATCTCCCTTTCTCAAGTTTCATCTTATGAACATGTATTTCTTTTGAAATAAGGGAGAGAGACAATAAGAGATATATTTTTTTTAATCTTCAAGGCTCAACTCAAGTGATGATCCTTCATGAAGCCTTTTCTCCGTGATTCTCGGGTCCTCCCCCGCCCCGGATCCCACCCAGCCTTGTAGGTGTCTGGTCATACTGTCCGCTAGAGAGCAAAGCCTCTCTGGGGTCTGCACCAGCAGGTCTGATGAACGAACAGGGGAGGGAAGGAGCCTGTACCCCCACCACTTCCTCAGGGGAGCTTGCCTAAAGTTTGCTACTGAGCATCCGGACAGAAGCCACTGGCCAGCACTGACGTTCCACGATGAGCCCAGAGGATGTGACGATCATCTGCCCATTATTTTTACTCTCGGACCCCCCACCTCCGGAGTCTGGGGGTTCCTGTGTGTCAGTGGGAACCAGGAGGAGCTGAGCATGAGTGCTAGCTGCGTTTGCGAGATTTTAGGGGTTTTGAGCTAAGCCATCGGTGCTCTGCGTCGGCCCTCCTCCCTCCCCAGTCCTCGCCACTTGTTCTTTTTCTTTGGGCAGTGGGTTGGGCAATTATGCTCTGCGGCGACCGCGACCGTAAGATCTGAGTGCCAAGGCGCCCCGCCCCTCCGTGCTAACCTAGTAAGAGTGTGGGCTTTTGCTTTTTCTTTCTTTCTTTTTTTTTTTTTTTTTT